AAAACAAACAAAAAAACCCTGGGATTCTCACTGGAATTGCATTATTTACATATTAATTTAGAAAAATTGACCTTTTTCTTACATCAACTCTTGTCATTCAAGAGCATATAGTTCTTTCCATTTGTCTGGATCAGGTTTTATAGTTTTCTTATTTTTCTAATTAGATTTATTGGGGTGACAACGATTAGTAAAACTACATAGGTTTCAAGTGTGCATTTCTATAATACGTCATCTATATATCACACTGTTCGCTCACCACCCAAAGTCAGTTCTTCTTCTATCACCATATATTTGACCCTTTTACCCTCTTCTACCACCCTACTCTAGAGTTATCTTCTTAAATATCTTGTACTTTTTCTGTTAAATTTTTTAAGTATTTATAATTTTTATTGCTGTTGTGAATGGCATTTTTTCCACTTTCATTTCTGTGTTTGTATTCTTTATTTTTTTGTGTATTTATTTTTATGCATCCATCTTACTAAATTTCTTTATTAATTATGGAAGATTTTTTAAATTAGTAATTTTTAAATTTTTCTATGTGATTTTTATCCTTATTTTCAAATATTGATACTGGCTATTTCATTGTCCCATCTTATTGTATATATTTTTTAAAATTATTTTTGTTGTTGTTAAATATATATATTTTTAACTTTATTGGGAAAAAAAATGTGTTTTTTCCAGGACCCACCCACTCCAAGTCAAGTCATTGTCCTTCAGTCTTAGTTGTGGAGGGCGCAGCTCAGCTCCAAGTCCAGTAGCCATTTTCTATCTAGTTACAGGAGGTGCAGCACACCATACCATGCGGGAGTCAAACCAACAACCTTGTTGTTAAGAGCACGTGTTCTAACCAACTGAGCTACCTGGCCGCCCCTATCTTACTGTATTTCCTAGAATTTTCAGATAATGTTTTCTAATGGTGACAATGAACATCGTTATTCTTTTTTTTTTTTTTTTCATTTTTAGCTGAGCCATCCTGCCACCTGTTGGCAACTCAGTGGCAGGTCAGCTCGGGCCGTGAATCGAACTGGAGACCATGTTGCTCAGAGCTTGCACTCTTGAGCAAGTTCTTAACCAGCTGAGCCACTTGGCCGGCCCTTCATTTTTTGTTTTAATGTGAATGGCTTTAAAGTCATTTAGAATGATATTTGCTATCTTTGCTAAATAATCTATATCATGCTTAAGTAATTTCTTTTTAGTTCTATTTTACCAAAATTTCTTATTAAGAATGGATACTATATTTTATTAAACCTTTCAGTAGCTATTGATAGAATTGCTTTCTTTTTAAATTTATTAGTGTAATGAATTTTGCTGATTCCTGATATTCAATCAACTTTATATTCCTTGGTCATAGGATATAGTTCATTATATTTGCTTGGTCATAGGCTATATAGTTCTTTTGATACACTGCTGGATTCTATTTGTTAATATTTAGACATTTTTGTCTCTATATTCATGAGTGATTTTGATCTACGATGGGTCTATTGTTTTTTATTTTGTTTGTGACGGCATTAAGATCATGCACCCTTCTTTAAAAATAAGAAAATTTTCCATTTCTATAATCTAGAAGATTTGCAATTAAGTTGGAATTATCTGTTCTTTAAAAGATAATAGAACATAGCTATGAAAACATTTGCTCCTGGTGCCTTTTATAAAAGGTAGACTGGATCTTTAAATCCTTTTCAATTTCTTCAAAGGTAATGGGTCGACTCAACTTTTCTAATTAATTTTGTAATTTATATTTTCCTAGGAAACCATGTATTTTAAGTGTGTCAACAAATCTGATAGAGTATAAGCATCTCTCTGTGTGCTACACAAGTTATGAAGAATGTAGAGATGGAATTAACATTTATTGAACAGCTGCTATGTGCCAAGCACTATGCTTCATATTTTATTTATATTGTCACATTTCATTGAATCCTCATATTGATCCTGTTTAGTATGTATCCTGTTTTTATTTTATAAATGAGAATATTGAGGCTTGGGAAAATGAGGTAATAATACGCCTAGGGTCACAGATAAGGAATAGCAGAGGGGGTCAGAATTGGAACTCAGGTCTCTGTGAGTTCGGAACTGGTGCATTTATCACTCCTGGATTTCAACAAATAGTTTCACAATCATTATATTTAATTACTAAAAAAGAGTTATTTGAGGAAGTGTGTCATTGTTTTCTTTTTCTCCCCCAATTATTGAATACTAGGATAGTTTTCTGTTCTTCACTACAATAAGTGAGTAGAAAAAGGAATAGAGCTTTTCCCTCCTCATATTTAAGACATTTTTTTTCTTAGTCTAGGTTTCCAGAAGAGAATTGTTTATTTGAAGAGTGTGATCATATTAATGACTAATATATACAGAAAGGTATATTTTAAAAGCGAGAATAACAACAGGATTACAAGGAAACATAGTATGATTTTTTGGAAAGAGCCTTACTATGCTATGAAATTCCCTGTGAGATCTTACTTGTAGTCTACTCCTCATTTTCTATGGGAATTCCTCACTCTCTGAGCCCAGTAATTCTTTCCCCTGCCCTTCATAGTCCTTGAATCACTGCCTACCTTTGAATAAATAACGGTCAGACGCTGCCCCATTCTTCTCACCAAGTTGACATGGCTTCTACTCTTCACCAGTCTTCCTCCTTTCTTTCCATCTCTACAATAGCAGTGCTAGGCTCTAAAAACACCCATCTGGGCTTTGGCAGACCCTTGAGAAAATACTGTTATGTTTTTAGAAAAAACCTGATCTCTAAACCATGCCTGATCATTGTATGGAGCAATGGTTTTCAGACTGTACTCTTTGAAGCCCTCAGGATTTGTTTTGACAGAGAGAAGGCCACCAAGCTGGTGGGGTTCTGGGTCTCCCTCCCCATCCTCTTCAACCAGAGTCTCTCTGTTGTTGTCTGATTCATATACTGCAGCTTTTGGATGAGGTTTTCCTTTTAAAATTAATTCCTGCTGCTAAAATTAATGCAGTAGAGAAATAGGAACTTTGAAACATTAACCTAAGGAGTTATGGTTAGATTTTTATAAAATTAATTCAAATATTAAAGTTAATAGCAACCTAACGAACACCGAAAAGTTTCCTGACCCTCCCCCAGACTGACCTAGAAGGTATACCCCACACACACTTACACGCATAAGACCACAAAAACCTAGGATTGTCTATTACTTTCCAATTACTGCCGTGACAGAAAAGGAAAACGTGGCACTTTGGGGAATTAAAATTAATTGAAAGCAGACTTGAGTTAATTTCCATTTCAATGTCCTTTATTGAATGGGCCTTTAGTGCACATTTCTAATTTTGGAGAATGAGAACTTTTTATATTGGGGGGAGGGTGATGAAGTATTTTCCCCTGAAACTACTGAAGTAATTCATGAGGACAAATCCTGCACAGGTTTTCAGAGAGGAAAGTCTATATGATCTTTGTGATATAGAAAAATGCTTTAACAAAATTATGAAAGGGGTTGTTTGTTTGTTTTTTTATACAACCTAAAAGCAACATACATTTCATAAAGTATCATATTTTATGACCTTGGAAAGTCGACTAGAATAACTATAGAAGATACTGAAAGGGGGTGTCAAATATCTACCCCCAAAATAAGAAATAACCCAGGATAATAAAGTAGGAAATTTCTATAAATAACAACTATGTTATTTAATCCATACCAGAGAATAGGGTATATGTAAATTACACTATATCCATTTTATAAAGTTCTTATACCAAATCTACTCTAAGATAGCCTAAATAAATATAGAAATATCCTAAATAAAATATCAGAAAACAAAAATCCAACACTATGACCACTAGAGTTTGTTCTAGAGTATAAAAGTGGCTTGATACTTACAAATCTATTAATATAATTTATTAATCAACATCATAATCAGCAAGAAGACAAAGAGCACAGTGTGACCCATAGAAGCAAAATGAAAAGGCGATAAGACAAATTTCACAATACACAGGCTTATATGCAAATGTTTAAAATGAGGATACCTCAATGATAATGTTACTTTTTAATCCCACTTGCAAATAAATGTATGCATATAATCAAATCATCCTTGAATACCTAACAATTTAAAGTGGCAAAGGCAATAAATTAAAGAATGAAAAAAGGTCTGTGCCACCACACATCCCAAACAATAAGTAGTCTTATTTTGAAAATGGTCCTTGATCCTCGGGTCAGCCTCCCCCTTGACCTTTTCTCAACTATGAGTGTTGCTAGAAACAGTGTGTCCCCTGCCACTGAACCAGGTCACAAGGCCTTAGTTAACCACCAGAATGCTAGTTCCCTCACCAGACTGTGCGCCATGTGGGAGCAGACGGGATATTTTATTCATCTTTATATCCCCAGCTCCTAGCCCTGTTCTGGGCATGTGCTCCACAAATGTTTGTGGAAGTGGATTGAATTCTCATCCGATAGATTAGAGAAACGTGTTTTTTTGTTTTGTTTTTTTTAACCACACATGCTTCACGTAAGCAAAAAAGATTTAGTAGTAAATATAGAAACAGTTTAGCCTGGAGATGATTTTTGTTAGGACAAAAAACATCCTATTTGATTCTATCAAGCAAAGTTTCACTGGCAGAAATAGCTCCTGTACCCACCACTGGGCTTGAAGACTGAGAGAGAGCAGGATTTCCTAACAAATGGCCCCACACCAAATCTACCTATAACTGCTGTGCCGCTGTTGCCAGCGACCTCAAAGTGCCCAGAGCCAGTGAGAAGAGGGCAAAGAACAGAGAATGGGCAGTTCCGAAGCTCAGGAGCCACAGAGGCTCTTCATGTCAACACACAGAATAACAGATCCTCCTGCCTCCTCTCCACTGCCATGTTCATTCTTTTTGATTACCTAACAGTATCAGTCAGGATAGAGTAATTTGGTTGAGTGGCTATGTGTCAGGTTCAGTCAGAGAAAAAAGAATACCAGCATGCTATCACATACACAAGACAGCACAATGGCTAGAGATTATTATTTTAAATTTATGAATGCTAATTGAAGACATCAAAACCTATCAAAAGTTTCAGACCTTATGACGTCCAGGGGTTTTTCTGACTTGTCTTATTAATTCACATACGTAAATGTGTCAGGACCTGATTTTGTGAGGCTGAGTGCTTCATGGGCTATGGGTCTGGTCAGGAAGATGTGCTCTATCTCTTTTCTTACCCGGGTTTGACTCGCTTTAATTTCAGCCTTTCAAATAGGTTCTCTGCCTGGATTCATCTGAGTGGGAATGAAGAGTGTCTCGGAGACAGTCTGTACACGAGGCGCAGTGTTGCCCCCAAACAAGGTAAATACCTACTTCAATAGAAAATAAAGTGAACGTCGCTGTACTTTCACTAGGTCAGCCCTGATGGGAAGAGAGGGATGACGATGAAAGGCAAGGGAGACTCCCAAGAGAACTGTGACTGGAAAGAGCCCTGAGCTCCAGAGAGAGCTCCCTCCAGCCCTAGGGGTGACCCTAATTTGCAGAGAGGGTATATCAACGTGATAAAGCCTTAACTAGTCTTCAGGAAGGATCCCTCCTGCTGGAGCAGAGACAATTGCAAGACTCACAGAATCGGAAACATGAAGCTGAGTTAGTGGTGCCTTGTGAAATAGATCATCTGTCACCAAAGCCTTTTCTAGGTGAGAGGGGAAACCAGGTTACTGCTGTCTCTCCTGAGAGAATTTTTTTTCATAGTTCAGATGAAATGACATCCAATTTGGATCTGCCTTTGGCATTTTCAGAACCGCTAGAAAGGAGAATAGAGTAACATTCACTCTTCAGAATGATGGTAATTTCTCACTACCTCCCAGTGAACAGACTCCAGGAGTTGGGAATCAACGACAAACCCTGCAAATCTATCACCTCCGTTGGAAGACTAGCCCACCACCCGTGCACCATTGACGAGGGTCAGCAGTGCTCTCTTGCCAGTGAAGCTACAGCATTCTCCCTGTAGGGCTAGCCTTCCTACAGGCCATATGCATTTGTACCTAAGGACCTCAGCCCCTGCCAGCCCTCTGCCTTCAAACACCCTGCCTTCTGCTGACCCACGTCCTGCTCCACCTTCAAAGGGCAGTTTATGTCTCACACTCTTCATATGCCTTCTCCTCAGCTGTCACGTGTCCTCACTAAGGATACTTAGAACTTATAACCAGCTATTATTAGAGTCCAACACACAGTAGCCTAGATATAAGAAATAGCATTTTTATTGATCAATGAAAAATCTAAATTCATCATTAGTTTGATTATTTCTTTTATAATTTCAGCCTATTTCATACATGCCCTCCCTAGAGCTAAGGCACACTGAACCCAACCAATGAGTAATTTCTTACCACATCTGGTACCTTTGGCACAGGGAGAAAAGGCCTAGAAACATTCCTTAAAGAGAACAGAACACAATGAGACTGGTTTTACTAAGAAACTATATTCTGATTCCTAAATATCTTACTGTACTATTTCAATTTATTTTTTGGAACAAGTTGGGACAATAATAAATAAATAAAATATAGAATATTAGTGCTCCATTCTCCTGCCTCCAAGCTACAGTACATGTTTCTCCCATCCCAGATAATTGGCTAGCAATCCTGTTCTACAGAACCTTTAAAAGTACATATGGAACCACACTGAACAATCTCACTTGAAATCTGTTCTAGGGCTGCTTGAGCACACTGTAAGTAAATCATTCCATGCAGATTATACCCATTTCATCTTGTTTTGATGTCACCGGAAAACAGTTCCCTTGCCTGAAGAGAAGTTGATCTAACGGTGCACACATGTTGCGTCGCACTGTTTCCTATCCTTGGTGCTATGTACTGAGCGCTCTCCATAGGCCATCATTTTGTTTTTCAGTAATGTAGTCAGTGAACATTTTCATCAGGCTTCCCACTGTAGCACCATGTAAACATCTTCCGCCAGTCAGGAAGGTAGTGCCCCTGCTGACCAGAAGGGTGGGGAATGGGAAAAATACTGGGCTCACCCAGCCGACCCTGACTTCTCACCCATGCAGGGCTACAGAAAGCCAGGCATGCTCTCTGCGCTTCCATTTCCTCATCTCCAGCATGAGGAAGCTCTCAGCATCCTTGCAGCTCTAAAATGCTGAGGCTAAAATCTCACAGGGTACCTCCAAATATTACTCAACGACAGGGTGATATAACAACCAGTGGCCTCCCTTGCTCAGCCCTACAGTTCCCAGAGCCTTCCATTACTGTCCTTTTGTTCAATCTAACCCCTCCCCCCCAACAAAACCCCCCCAAAAAAGACAGTACATGCTAACTAGTTTACAATTTCCCAATCCCTACTTCTTCCACTGTGCAGCTTTAGCTACTTTTTAGTATACAGTGCTTTATTTTTAGGGAAGGAAACAAAACTGACTGTTCTTCTGCCTTTTTCCCCTGCTAAATGCATATCGCTGGTTGCACTTACATTTCTTTCCAGTAAATATTTTCACTGGGCTGTTCCAAACTCAACCTGTTAAAATCACATCAGCCGTCTTGAGCCTTCCCAAAGCACCTCCTTCAGATCTCCCTGGCTCTGTCATAGCACCGCCACTGACACAGGCTCACGACCTCAGAATGAACTTCCCCTCACCCCACAGTCCACCAGTAGTGAAACCCTTCTGGATCTTGCTTTATAAAGTCTCTTAAATTTCCTCCTTCCCTTCTCATTGTCACCGCTTTGGTTCAACCCTGACTGCTTTGTGCCTGCATAGCTGTAGGAGCATCCTGATTAGTTTACCAGCTTTTTACACTGCTGCTAGATTATTTTCCTTTAAATATCAATCTGATCATCTCTTGCTCCTCAAAAACTTGAACAGATCTCTTCTTAATAAAATGTAATGAAAGCTTCCCCTCCAGTGTTATTCCTGATATGTAGGGGACACTCCAGCCGCCCGAGACTTATTCACCACGAGCATTCCTACCAGCTTTCTCCCTCTCCCTGCTACCTGGTCTGTCCTCCTCGCCCTACTTCAACTGTGAAATCCTGACTCATTCCTCAAAGCCGAACTCAAGCCCCTTCCGCTCTGCAATGGACCCCTTCAATCCAATGGGAAATTATCTCTCCTTTCTTGGAATATCTGTAGAACTCAGTTGGCACCAAAACTACAGTTTTCTACTGTTATTTCTCTTACAAAAATAATATCATTTTCTAAATAAGATTATAAACTTCTTGAGAAAAGAGGCTATTGTTCCCACCTCTTAGATCCCTGGTGCTCATTTTATGTTCTCAGAGGATAAAGCTCTATAAAAGTTTGTTGACTAAGATGATAAACCTTCCAAACGCTGTCAACAGTTAACTACCTAGCACATAACCCTCCTCTAATTATTAGGTGTTAATTAGTTATTAATAACTAGGTGTTCTTTTACCTAAGAAGTTGGTTATCAATAGTCACAGGTGTAGAGACTAAGCGAGGAAGAATTTGGCCACAGGAAATCCAGGCTAGGAGAGTGGAACACCAGGGTTTAATGCTCCATCTCAGTCTCAAAGTGCAGTTTTCAGATTACAGGGTCATAAAATAGGATGGGCTGCAATGGTTTAGCCCTTGTTAATATATACGTATATTAGATTCCAATGTTTTGGATTTGGAAGGAAAGTTCATTCTTTTCTTCCTTCGCCCACTTTGGATTACACCTTAGAAACCTCACTCCTTGCCCACTTTTTTCTTTGTAACACCCAGAGGACCTGCTTTCAGCCTGTAGTGTCTGCCACTCATCTTCCTGGGAATCCATGCTCCTGCCCTGCTGTCAGTCTCCAAAACAAACTATGTGATAGGCATTGAATGAGCCAGTAGATGCAAGATGAACCTAGAAAAACAAAAAACAAAAAACCCACCCCTTTAAAAGCAGTATTTCCAGCCTTGTCCTTGAGTCTAACTCTTCACACATTCTTTACTTTAGCTTGGGTTCTCCCTCTAGCCTGTGGTTTATGAAGCTGAAGAGAGAGATACTGTAAATCTGGATGCAAAGTTCACATGTAAAACAAATCCCTACTTCTGAAAATCCTGTGAATTCAGTTATCATAACTTTTTAAATGTACTGCTAATAGCCATAATGCCCATTGGCAAAAATTAAATGGAGAAGTAGATGCAGTACATTTGAAAAGTCATTAAAATGTCAGAATGTTCAGAATCTTAGAAGTGAGAAAAGCTCATTTGCGAAAATCCCGGGACACAAAGGATGTGAAGAGGAAAAGTGAGGTTGAAATTCAAGCCCTTAGGCACCTCCACCAGGGCCCACTTTGTTGGAATCTCTTGACAACTTGAAAGTCTTCTCGAATTTACAATATCCCACAATCAAATATTAAGGATAAAAAAAGTACTAAGACTTCTTCTGGTCTCTGCTTAAATGCCACCTTATTAGAAAGGCCTTCCCTGACCACACATATACAAGCAGGACCCAGTCGCCACTGCCTGTCTTTTTTTTTTTTTTAATTGCTTTATTTTTCTCCACAGCTTTTATCACTAAAGGACAATGCTATCTACTTATTTGTTCATTATCCCTCTTGGCCTACCACCTCATGAGGGCTTGGACTTTTTTTTTATTGAGTCTCTACTCTCCTAGGTTTAAAACGAGGTCTAGCACAAAACAGGCCCCAAATAAATAGATGTTGAAGAAATGAATGAACCAATATCATATTTTTTTATCATAGTTTGGAAAGACCAAATCACACCTACTAGAGCTACTTGCAACGTAAACTAAAGATTCAGCATATAGTGGTAAAGAAAATCAGAACTGAAAGACCACACAGAGATCAGCCAGCCAAATCCGGTCACTTCACACAGAAAATGAGGTCGAGAGGTTAAGTGACTTGAGTAAATCATAAGCTCCTGTTTTGACGGGAATAATGAAATGGCTTACTCCAGTGTCCCAATTTCTTGTACAAATATGGTAATTATGAAATTTGATAATACCATTTGAATCTCAGTGAGGTGGGCCTTGTAAATAAGTTGAATAAAATGGCTGTCATATGGACGGTGTAGAGGCCTGACCACTGCACTGTACATCTGAAGCTGCCATTGAATAATATTATATGTCAACTATAATTTAATATATATATAGTCATGGGATGTGGAGTATAGTGTGGGAATGGAGTCAATGGAATTGTAATAGATATGTATGATATCAGGAGTGGGGGAGTGACGGATTGGGGGAGGGAGGTTGTCACTTTGTGAGGGGTGAAAAGGATAACTATTGCATTGTTTTGTACACCTGAAACTAATAATAAACAAACAAACAAACAAAAAAACGGCTGTGAGATCAGGCCCCTAGCCCAGATATATCAGTCTCACTGCCTGTCATCAACGCTATGACTTTATTCCTTTGGATGTAGAGAGATTTTTTTTTTAAATACGCTTCACTTTGTGTCAGCAAACACTTTAGCTAGTTGAGAGCAACACTGATAGCCAAGCTAAGTGCCAGGAGGGGGTGGGGATGGAGACGCTGAGCTTTGACATATGGGAGATTCAGCTTCAAATCCCAGCTCCAGGATTTCAGCAGTTGCTTGATCTTGGGAAAATTACTTCTCTAAGTGTCCAATTAGCTCAGTCTCTGACTAGAAGTCTCTAGTAGTGATTAGTACTATTCTTTGTAATTTTTCCCAGGACAAACCTGGAAGCCCTAGTCTGAGACCAATAGAGCTAAAAGAAAAAGAAAACACTGGACCCTCCCAAGGGGTCTAGATTCAAAGGTCTTCAAGGATCGGGACCATATGTTAAGTTTTTGTGGTCTGAAGGCCCTAGCTCAGAGGTGAGCACCATGCAGGCACCAGTCACTACTGCAGGAGCCAAAATGGACCACGTGCATCCACAGCAGAGGCCTCTCAGCACAGCTGTGGGGAGGGAAGGAACCCACAGCAATCAATTGTTCAGCAGTCTCGGGCCTGAAAACGGAGTTAGGGCTGGATCAAGGAGGTGCACGTGCACCAGTCTATCAGCGGTACTAAAAGAGCCCTGTAATGTGAGAGGGAGAAAGCTATTTTTATCAGGCCTAGATTTGTCCGAAAACCCCTTTGAATGAGCGCCAGATTTTTAGCCTGCCTCTGGTCTCTCAATCCAGCTCTGCCTATGGGACCTGAATTTTATATCTCAGGAGCCCCTTCTCACTAACTCCCGCTCATTGACTGCAAATCACCACCTCACCATAGCCTCTGGGGCCACTCTTCTGAACTTTGGAGAGGCTGCCTACCTGGGGCTCCCCATGGTCCCTATAGACAGCTAGACATTAGTTGATATGATTTTGCTACTTGTAACAGCTAATGACCAGACTAGCTGAACTTATTTGATATTTCCCTATTTTAGGGTATTTCAATTAAAACTTTGTAGTATTTACTACATATGATATAGATGTGTAGATGACCACAGTTGGTGCATTTCATCAAATACCTCTCTACATTTGTTCCTCCCATCCTTTATGCCTCAAATACCTTTTCTTACCTAATGAAATATTTATCATCCTTCAAGGCTCAGTTCAAGCACCTCCTTCTGTATGAAGCCTGCCAGGATCCTCCACGCCATCAATAGTCAATCATTCCTCCACTGCATTCTCTACCCCATTATTAGTATCTGTCCCAGAGGGAAATCACAGGCGTGAAAGCTTTGAGAATTTTGCAGTGGGCACTCAATATAATATATATATAATATAACATAATATATAATATAGTAAATTTAACTTAATTTAATTTAACTTAATTTAATTCTAAAGGATATCCATGGCTAATGATTTCTTTCCCTAAAGAAAACAACAATAGGGAGAGGTTGGTAAAGGGTACAAACTTTCAGTTATAAGATGAATAAGGTCTAAGGATCTAATATATAACATGGTGGCTGTGGTTGATAAGACTGTATTGCATAATTTATTAAGAGAGTAGAACTTAAATGTTCTCAGACAAAACCGTAAATACATGAGGTGATGGGTATGTTAAGTAACTCGGTGGGGGAGGCGGAGGGAAATCCTTCCACAATATATATCAACTCATCACATTGCACACTTTGAATATCTTACAATTTTATCTGTTAGTTATATCTCAATAAAGCTGGGCTAAAATATTTATTCATATTAATAGCAAGGAGATGCATTTAAAAAAAATTAATGAGCTAGAAAAGGCAAATGGAAAATCAGTGCTATTTCATCTAATTATTTTGTTTTAACGAAAGTTCACTCTCAGCATGTAGACTGAGAAATCTTTTGGAGCACTACCTTTTGGCAAAGACCAAATGCTTCTCTGTACTTAAAAAAATTGTTATCAAGCATCTACACATAAAATTGCACATAGAATATATCCACAAGTTTAATCTTCAAAGCCTTTATAGCAGCTGAAAAGTAAAATTTTAAATGAAAAAGAAATATTATCAAGTAAAATATCCTGAGACTTTATGGTTTTGCCTCAATTATGAACCTGTTGCCAAGAAGTAGGTGAGATTAATATTGGTATATTCGGTATATCAGGTTAAGTACAGCCAAATAGATATGAACCAACTATGACATTATTTGTAAGCCTTGCTTTAAACTACATTACTTTAAAACCTAAACTGCAAAAAATAATTATAAAAGCAATACATGCTCAGTGTGGAAATACTGAGAACCTGACTCATTTTACCCTCTTTGTCTTTCCTACTCTTTGCAGGTGGAAGAGTCACTGGGAAACCAAAGCGTCCATGAGGAGTTAGTAGAGGCCAGCAGAGGGCATGGGGCTGTGGCAGACCAGGAGTGAGTGATACACCGTGAGTGACTGACACTAGCTTGATTGTGCAGGGGACACCACATGAGGCAGCAGATGTGCTGCTAGGTTTCTGAGTTTTATCTTACAAAGGCAGTTCCAAGCTTTATTCTCCCAATCTTCTTTATAAAAATAATGACCTTCCAATGAATGCCATCTGATTTCTAGCAACATATCTTTTAATGGTATGTCATTTCATCAGTGATTCTCTCAACAAATCTGAATCAATTAGCTTCATTTCCTTTTTATATCTTACACTGTTATCCAAATTATTATTCCTATGATCATTCATTTAGTCACGCATTAATTATAGACTTCTTATCTACCTATGAAAATCTTGATCAGAAGTCTTCAGTGACTCCTAAAGTTTAAGCATACTAACACAAAAGACCCTGTCTTCATGATATGGCCTCTACCCAGCTCTGCAAACTCATCTTCAGTCACTCTTATACGTGAATGGGGCTCCTATCACAAAGACGGTCTTGTGGTTCTGTGTTCTTTCTAGCTTCTGGGCTTTGTAAATGCTGTTCCTCAGTCGACATCTTTCCCCTACCCTGGGCTGGCTGTCCAACTCCTTGTGACCTTCACGATTCTGTGCAAGTATTGCTCTTCCCTGTCTTTCTTGACATATCTGAGTAGAATTAAGTTATTGCTTTTCTCTGCTGCCATGGTATTTTGTCCACGCTTCTATTACAGTATTTATGTTAAATATGATTTAGAAATCTTATTTCTGCAAGAGCAGGGGTTCATACACTCTCAGAGCATCCATAGGCAAAACTTTACATAGGTTCATTTTCTTCTGGAGGGAAGGTTCAGAGCTCGTATCAGACTCTCAAAGGAGTTCATATTTACTCTCTTAAAACCAAATTAAGAACTACTGCACTCTAGATTATGAGCCCCTGGGAAAAAGAGATTGGGTTCTATTATTCTTTGCACCTCTACTGTTAGGTGCCTAAGTTGAATTACCATTTCAGTTATTATTTAAAGGTAGATGTGTATACTATTAGATATGTAGTAAATTCAACCTCCTCTATTCATTAGTGTTTTTAAGTAGACAGAAAGTGTGATACAATGAAAAGTACACTGGATAAAAGGAAAAATATGGAAGGATTTATGCCAAACTACTAACAGTGGTTTTGCTTGGAAAGAGGGATGGGAGCAGGGTTGGATGGACTTTCAAAGTGTACTTATGCTCTTCTGTCTTGATCACGCTTGTTTGTTTGTTTTTTTAATTTTGAAACTTAAAAATAATGTTTTAAACTATGGAACTGTTTTCTTAAGTACATGAGACACCTAGCTTCAAATCCCAGCTCTATTACTTATTTACTTTTGTCTGGGAACCTTACTTAACCTTTATAAACCTAATTTCTTCATCTGTAAAATGAGGGTAATACTTACCTGTCCCACATACCTGTTATGTCACAAGGCCTAGCAAAAGTGGGGACTTGGTAAATATTAGTTGAATATAAATTTTGTTGTTCCTAAGGATTTTTTTGCAATTCCCAAAGACACCCAAATTAGAACCAATTAAAACATAATTTATGGCCTGGCCGAGTGGCTCAGTTGGTTAAGAGCTGGCTTGGGACGCCAGAGGGCCCCGGTTCGGATCCCACATATGAGGGCCAGTGACACTGCCCTCCACAGCTAAGATGCTGAACAACAGCTCAACCTGGAGCTGGGCTGCTGTGAGTCGCCGGCGATGGCGATGGCTAGGCTGCAGTCCCTGTGGCAGTGGGTTGCCATGGGCTACCGTATGTAGCCAGCAACCAGCGTGAGCGGCCAGCAGCCGCCGTGAGCGGCCGTCCAGAGGCCGGCGACTGATCTACCTCGCCCGGGAAGAGCGCAATGATGGTGCCAACTTGGGACAGTGAAGCAACGTCCTCCACAACTAGACTGAAGAGCAAAACGACAGCAACTTGGCTGTTCCCCTTCCTCCAAGTCCCCAGCGCTGTTCCCGTCCCCCAATTCCCCAATAAAAAAATCTAAAAAAAAAGAAAAAAAAAGAGTTGGCTGAAGAGCACGAGCTCTGAGCAACAGGGCCGCCAGTTCGATTCCCACGTGGGCCAGTGACCCTGCGCCTGAGCTGAGCTGTCACTGAGCTGCCAACAGGTGGCCAAATGGATCAGCTGGTGTAACAGCAAGATTGCCTGTTCTTTGGTGGGCTACGGCCACCCGCAACTAAGGCTGAACTCAACACCTTGAGCTTAGAGGCCACGAGCTGCCGACAGGAAGCCAGATGGCGACTGGTGCCCTCCACAACGAAGACTGAAGAACAACAACTTGGCTGGTCCCCTTCCCCAATTCCCCAACACTATTCCCCTCCCCCAATTCCCCAATAAAATCTTTAAAACAAAACAAAACATAGTTTATTATTGCCTCAAGACTGTGAGTAAGCATTTATATAAACAGTAAAACTCTGATGTAATGTGGCTTGTTTATAAGGTGGCTATTAGCTCTGACTAATTAATAACAGAATCTCCGTATGTTCATTTGTTTTAAAACAAAGAAGGGTTACAAAATTTTTCAAAGCAATTTATAATACTTGCACTTCAAGAATAAAGAACGAGTACTGATTTAAACTAAGTACAAGTGCACTGGTTTAAACTAAGCTCTCAGTTTATCTGTGTTCTTACTAGAAACAAGTTCTTTGCAATTTTCACTCACCTCATGGCCTGTCTTCACCAGTAGATGTCACACCATGTTTTGTGAAGTCTTCCTGATGTGTCTAGAGGCTCTATTAAAAAAAAATAAAATGCCATTGATAATGATAGTTACCTTGTAATTTAAGCCATCTTTTTTCCTATAATTTTATAACTAAAAGTTTGTGTTATATATACAACTGATTGTTGTTAAAATTTTTTAATAGCTCAAAAACCTGTAAAGTAAAAAGTAAAGGTTCTTGTTTCTTTGATTCTTTTAATTTTTTAAGTCACTTGGTGTTGAGTAGGCACAACCACCCCAGTTTTGGTATCGTTGGAGTAACTAATAAAAATAAATTTCTATGTATTTAAAAACACAGCCGGCAAACTCTGGCATGGCTTATGGGGCTTTGCTGAATCAGAAGAGTTCAGAGCAGTTCATCTGACCCTAAAATAATGAATGCTACACATCTGGAGATTTTCCTAAGTATCCCACATTAAATGAAATCACCTACTTCAAGTGACAAATGAAACAGATTTGTAATAGGTTTTTCAGTAGGGGCTAATTGAGGTGATCTACAGTCAAAATTAAGTACAAATCCATTTGGAGAATACTCTATGATTTATCTGTTTTTTTGTGAGCAGTACAGCAAGTTCCAGGCCAGCTAAATGTTTTATTTTTTTTTCATTATCTGAAGCCTCTTGGGCAGTGTGGCCATGTCATTGAATTATTTTTTTAATTTATACTCATTGGAATATATTTAGCTATCAGTATATATTAGAACTCATGAGTTCACTCTGATATCTCCTCAAATTTCAATCCAACACTTCCAGTTCCAATGCAAAATTCTATCTTTCCCTCTTAGTTTGGGCTCCGGTGTTCTGATCTGTGTAATTGGCATAGTAATAATAATAACAATGACCTCACAGTACAGATGTGAGGATTAAGGAAGATGAAGGCTGGGAGCCACGGGCTAGGATGTGGGCAATAGGGGAACCACAGGCTTACTAAGTCATCTTTGTCATTGTATCAAGGTCCCTGTCCTTTAGCTTAAGCAAATTGGTGTTTATTTCCAGCTTGGCTTGCTCTGTTTCCTCTTAACTTGACAGATAAGTTTTCTTAAGAGGTTCCATTTTATGCCTAATGCTGTTTTTTTGTCCTGAAGGAATATAAGAGACAATGTAAGGCCTAATACTGGCTCTGTCAGTCATTCCTAATTGCCACTCAGTATCCTTTCACCCCTTTTTCTTTAGTAACCCAGTTAAAAAACTACATTCCCTGTTCTCCTTCATAGCTAGGTTCTCCCCATGAGATATAAGTAGGAAGAGTATGAGTGATCTCTGGGAGGTCCCTTGAAAGACAAAACACATCTTTCTCTTCCCATTTCTCCTTCCTGCTAGCCTAGCACCAGTGAGGTAGGTGGAGTCCTAGCGACCTCTTTGGACCAAGACGTGATACACTGAGGATGGTAGAAGAGCAAGATAGTAGGAACCTACATCCTTCACACAAGGACCTGCTCCAACAGTTCTGGACTGCCTTCCTCCAGGCTTTTTTTTTTTAATTTAAGGGAGAAATAAATTTCTAGCTTGTTTAAGCCACTATTATATTGGTTTTTCCACCATATACAGGTGAACCCAACCTTACTGATCTGCTGGCCTGCTAGGAAGTTGTCTAGAACCAAGAACCATTTTATTTATTTTTATTTTTATTTTTTTAAATTGGGGAATTGGGGGGATGGGAACAGCACTGGGGAATTGGGGGAAGGGTAACAGACAAGTTGCTGTCCTTTTGTTCTTCAGTCTAGTTGTGGAGGACGTTGCTTCACTGGCCCAAGTTAGCACCATCATTGTGCTCTTTCCAGGTGAGGCAGATCAGTCGCCGGCCTCTGGACGGCCGCTCCCAGTGGCTGCTGGCCACTCACGCTGGCTGCTGGCTACATACGGTAGCCCATGGCAACCCACTGCAGCAGGGGCTGCAGCCTACGCTGTCTCCAGTGACTCACGGCAGCCCAGCTCCAGGTCGAGCTGTTGTTCAGCATCTTAGCTGTAGAGGGCAGTGTCACTGGCCCTCGTATGTAGGACTCGAACCAGGGTCCTCTGGCGTCCCAAGCCCGCTCTTAACCATCGGGCCACTTGGCCGGCCCACCAAGAACCATTTTAAATTCTTGAACCTTTCCTTTCCTTTGAGCCTATGTGTATGTTCTCCTTATTAACAACACATTCTCCACTCTTCAGCAGCCTCTAGTGTGTCACTCTAGTCCTTGTTTTTACCCTTTCTTCTTTGCATCATTCATATTTTGGATATTATACACTCATGTGAGCTCTTCAGGTAGGAATTTGAGCTCCCAGAGTGGGAAACGGGGCCACTCTATTGGGGAAGAAAAAAGGAAGTTTGGCTAACATTAAGTTTTTGGCTTTCTTTGTGGATTACAGGAAAAATAGTCACTTCAACAAGCATTTATTAAGCACATCCCATGTGAAAGGCATTGTGTCAGGTGCTGGGAGAAATATAAAGATGACATTGTTCAAGGAGCTTACAATCTGGTAGGAAAGATGAGACACACAAATAAGTACAGCCTGTGATTCAGTGAGAAAAGTGTAAAATGCCTAAAGCTTTCCGAAGAAAAAAAAGATGAGTTCCACTTGTGGGGTTTGAGAATGTTGCATCCTCAAGATAGGATTTGAGCTGGGCCTTGAACAACATGTAGAAATGGGAAAACAGGATCAGCAAAGGAACAGAGATAGAAAGTTACAAGGTACAGGTGGATTTAGCGATCTAGGAGCATTGAGGGTAGGGTAGGAGGTGAGGCAGACAGGTAGATTGGGGTCAGATACAGGGCTGTGAATATCTTCTTAGGAACCTGCTCTGCAATGGAAAGAATAAGGAGTCACAGGAGGTTTTTAAGCGAGTACCAGACCACGTGTCTTCATCAGGAAGATGCCTCTTGCAGCACCGTAGGGGAAAGATCAGCCGCAGAGAGTCCTGTGAGTAACACCTTTACTAATCCAAGTAAAAGGGAATAAGGACCTGAATTACAGAAGTGACTTAGAAAGGAAAGGAAGGCACCGAGAAAAGCAACATTTCAAAGGTTACTGCGTGAGTTCCATGTATGCTTTGCCAGGAAAAAGAGTTGGATTGTAATTCTCAGATTCAGAAGTAAAGAATATATCCATGAAAGAATTTAAAAAATTATTCTACCCTTACTTGAACTGGGAAACTAAAAGGAGGCTGAATAGGCTGTAACAATGAACTTATTGGTTCTATAATTTTAACAGAGCCTTAACTTTTATTTTCCCCAGATGTCAATTGGGAGTGCATGGAATAACTGCTAGCAGATGGGGAAAGAGTATTGAAAAGTATCTCAGTAAAGAAATGCAGCCATCCCTTTTTTCCCATTGTTCAGCCTCTGCCCAGGTGTTAGGGTAAATAGTGTGTGTGGGGGGTACCTTACACCTGAGTATCTTACACCTGAGTACCTTACACAGTAAGATTCTTCCGCTTGTCCCCAATTATCTCTTTACCCCACCCCTTTATGTGCCATCTCTACCCACCCCTCCCATCCACACTCTCCATGAGCAATCCAGTGATAATTTAAGAGAAGGAGGAGGATTTCTAGAGAGCATAAGAATGTTCTAATATTTGTCTCTTTGTTCCTCCCTAAAACCATGCCAGCATAGCCTGAGGAAAAATGGTAAGAGCAGGCATAGACATATATAAAGGCATTATATTCTCAAATTATATTCTCAAAAAGAAAAAAAAAATCCTAAACAGCTACTTTCTCATTCTCGGGATAAATTCTAGAGATTTCCTCAAATAGACAAAATTGAACATCTGATCAGCTGCTGCTTTCTCTTATTTTTCTGATTATTTAGAAAAACTTAAGTGGATGTTAATACTTAACTAACTTCTCTTTCCTCAATAAGGGCAGGACAAAATAATCATGAACCTACCAATCAGAGGTGTGTTCTGTGCAATATTTAGCAATTTATGGTTTAATGCATGCTATTTGGGGCACTGAAAGCACCTTACAAATAAAGTAATGAGGATTTTTTCTTCCATGATTTCCCAAGGTGATAATTCCTGGCACTCTTGAAAGTAGAAATGATTAATCAAGCCATTGGGGACAAGCAGCAGTAATGTGATTGTCAAAATTACGGTATTATTTAAACTGTGTTTCGCTCTCATGTAAATTGCGTGTGTGTGTGTGTGTGTGTGTGTGTGTGTGTGTGTGTATTAAGAGGTGGTCAGTGGGAGAATCAGCATCTTCAATATTGTCCTTGAGAGAAAATTAGCAAGAATTATTAAAGATTCTATTTTATAAAATTCCTAAAACTAAGAAAAATATTTAGCAACTCATACACCAGTCCTAAAACTCAAACTCAAAGATTCCTAACCAGGAGTCCATATATTGGGATTCACCCATGTGTAAATCTCCTGAAATTATAGGGAAATTTTTGTATGGTTTTATAGTTTTTTGCAGAGAGGATGGGCTGGTTTCCAAAGATTCTTAAAGTGATCCTTGACCCCACAAATGGTTAAGAAATACTGCCATTAAAGAAAAAAGAAGGAAGGGAGGGAGAAATTTGTACAAGGCTCTTATCTGTTAACCTTTATTTTTGTATTAAAAGTTATCAGTAGTATGATCATCTTCCTTTCAAAAGCCTCTGAAGTTGCAAACTGGTTTAGATTGCATTTTCAGAGCCCATGGTATTAACTAGAATGTAGATTTTAATTAAATTCATAGAAACTGCTTTTAATAAACGTGTCAAAAAGTTACTTCCCTAGTATAACTTTCTGATCATTTATATTAAATCCTTCAGAAGTGCCTACAATGAAATGGTTATACCATTTGCATCAATATAATTTTGTATTGAGAGGTGCTATTAAAAAAGACAAGGGTAATAAAAAATAAATTTCCAGATTTTCAGAATAATATTGTTTCAGTACATAAAACCCATGTGATTCCAATACTAATTATAATGGAATCCTATTTCATTTAAAAATAGAAAGCTTTCAAGTGAAACCCAATTCATTTCATCATGCTCCCAAAACCCTGCAAAGGGTTTAGAATTAAGATTCACTAATGTCCCTATGTTATTAATCAGCACACATTTTTCTGTATTTAGAGTGAACTCTGTCCCTTTTCTGTGTTACAGAAGGCATAAGTCAATGTCCCTTCATTCCTATCTTTTTCATTCTTTATGCTGAATCCTAAAGAAGTATATATATGTTAGATTTACAAAAATCAAGAATTCTGTCATCCTTTCTTTAAGATTGCTCTCAAAATTTAACTCAGCTTCAGTTAAATATGGAAATATGCAAAACTCTTCAGTCCCCAAACATTTCATTAATTGACAACCTAACAAAGGCAGCTTATGACATAATTTTAAAACTAAGCACGAAAATGAATGTTTTACAAATTGTTACAACTTTAAATAAAACATTATTTCTTTAAATGGCTACCCTAATGTTAGCACATTTTGAATAAAAATTACTAATTAAAGATTGATGGGATTTCTTCTCTTATGAAAATATTTCCCCTCAATGCCTCTCAAAGCACATAAAAGCACACACTTACCCCATGGTGCTTGCCATAATTATATCATCCTCGGATCAAGGCTTATCTGGATTCTGAATTAACTTAAAGGTTATAAAAAGAAGCTATGGAGAGGGTTGACTTCTCCAGAAACGAGACTGTCATATGCTAAGTAGGTTTTTAAATGAGGAAAACTAGCGTCTCTTCTAATTATATAAGCTCCAGGTCAAATTCTAGCATCAACTAATCAAATAAGTGTACTTCATTTAGTTTCAAGGAGTAAAAGAAAGAAACTGTTTAAGAGGGATGACTTTGGTATCTTAGAAAACTGGAAATGAGCATTGTAAAGCTATTTATCAATAAAAAGTTAAAGATTTTAAAAGCAAAGTATGCATCTTGCTACTTTAAATAATTTGAAGAAAAAGATTGGGGAAATTTTAGTTTGTAATAAAGGAGATATTTTTCTGTATTTTTCAGAAATTTTGAATTTGCATTATATGTCCTGGCCCTGGAAACATCCTCTCACCTTACCTTAACTTGTCCAGTATTTATCTCCTTATAAATTTCAGTACAATATTTAATTCTAAAGCCATACCAGTTAATCCTAAGCAACAAATCCAAAAGTGTCTAATTTTTAAAATAACTTATAAATAGGGTGTTTTGAAATTAAATACAAAGCTATTATTATGAGAAACAAAAATACCATTCCAATTTTAATATTTTAAAATGCATTTCAACAGATTTATAGTACAACAAAACATAGAAATATTTTTGGCAATGATATATTAAGAAATAAAATTTAGTAAGATTTTTGAATAAATCTGATAGAGAAGTTGTCTATTACATAAACCATTTTTTATCAGTTTTAGGAAAACAGTTTCAGCAAAAACACTCACGTCTTTATTGTCATTTTTAATATGTAGCTGTCATGTAGTATTCTGGTAATTTTAAAATTATTTTATATGGAAGGTAAAGAAGCTGTCTAACCATATTATTAATATATATGAGGACACAAAGGTCTATCTAGTCTTTAGAAAATTGAAATATAATCCACTTATCATATGTAAATTTGCCCTTTTACTGTGAACAATTCAGTGGTTTTTAGTATTCACAAGGTTATGTAACCATCACCACTAATTCTAGAACATTTCCGTCACCCCAAAAAGAAACCCCATGTCTCCCAATTCTCCCTCCTCTGGCAGCCACTAATCGACTGGACATTTCAGATGACAGCCATACAATATGTGGCCTTTTGTTAATGGATTCTTTCACTTAGTACAATGTTTTTAAGGTTCATTCATGTTGTAGTATGTATCAGTATTTCATCCCTTTTTATGGCCAAATCATATTCCATTGTATAGATATACAGTATTTGTTTATCCCCTCATCAGTTAATGGACATTTGGGTTGTTTCCAGTATTGGTTCCAGTACAGGTCAGTTCTCTTGGGTACATACCTAGGAATTGCTGGGTCATATGGTAACTATATGTCTAACTTTTTGAGAAACTGTTTTCCACAGAGGCTATACCATTACATTCCCACCAGAAGTGTTTGAGGTTTCCAATTTCTCCACATCCTTGCCAACCTTTGTTACTGTCTGTCTTTTTAAATATAGCCATCCTAGTGATTGTGAGTGGTATCTTACTGTGGGTTTCATTAGCATTTCTCTAAAGAATAATGATGTTGAGCATCTTTTTGTTTGCTTATTAGACATTTGAATATTTTCTTTGAAAAAATGTCTATTTAAATCTTTGACCCATTTTTAAATTGGGTTGTCTTTTTATTTATATACATTTACATATGCGTTCTTTATATATTCTGGAAACTAAACCTTTATCAGATATGTGATTTCAAAATATTTTCTCCCATTCTTTGGATTGTCTTTATTTTCTCGATAGTTCCCTTTAACACATAGATATACTTTTAAAGATGACAAAATTTAGGCATAGGATTGGAAATTGACTTTGTCAAGATTTGGATAGTTCTGTGTTTATTAAAATGAGCAAACTCCCAACTGAATCACATAATTTATTTTAAACTAATTATATGATGATGAAAATAAAGTTTAAAAAGGCATAGTGAATGGTAGTTTTATTGACAAAATTATAATACAGAGGTAGTGTATGAAGTTAATTCAGATGACAGATTTAATTGTTTTTCTTACAACTAACAGCTTCAATTGCCACATTAAAACTTCAGTGCAGAATATCTATCTACATGTGGAGCTTTAGTCTCAGGCCTGGAGCAGCAGTGAAATGAAAGTTACCACACCATTCTAGTCCTTGGATATCAGTATATTGTCCTTCACCTTCCACCCTGCAATAGTAAAAAAACAAGTTTGTTCATTAACCAAGACCAAGAATTTACAGCCCAGATATACGATTATCTAGTATGTGACATATTATAGACTATGTCTGAAGAATTGTATCTTTCCACTTTCAAACTTTGATTTAAAACCTGGAATTCTGCTTTCATATCCTACAAAAAAACTATTACTATTCTAAACAAACATTGTCATTATACAAATGTTGGTGTCCAGGATTTTAGGATCACATATGCTAAGATTACACAAAACCAAAATAATCAGTTTAAAAATGAAAAGTTTGTATTAGTACATTTATTTATTGACCATCAACTATGTTAGAGGTGCTGTGCTCTGTGGTGTTTCCTTGGACTCTTTGGAGTGGTAAAAATATACTTCATATAAATAAACAGAGATCTTTATTCCATAGATTAGATTTTTCTCCCTTTGTCAGTATTACTGGAAAAAACTTATGTGTTATTATTACAGATTTGAAGTCAATATAGGTGAACACTTTTCTGCCCTTCTCAAAATGTATTCACATCAACCGCTTCATAACAATTAAGGTTGTATTTTCAACTCTGGAAATAATAAAGGGGTATTTATAAATGAACATGAACCTCTGGATGACATGACATGGTATTTGGTGAAATTAAGCTTGTAAAGTGGGTATCTTTATACTATTTGAAAATTAACTAATTTTACTTACATTCTTAAAATTGGCCTAGTAAAAATATACACATATATCAGGTCAAATGAAATAAACAATTATGAAATTATCCCTAAGGCTGCTTTTTAACAATGTATCAAGATATTTCAAGTGAAATTAATTTTTGGCTTAAATTTTTTCAATAATTGCAACAAGTTTTCCATTTCCAAGCTGACTGCAAAAGGTTCTATAGGAATAGAGGAGTCAAGAGGAAAAGTCTGATAGATTATCACCATGAATGATATTTTCTTTTGGAGGCTCGTGATGGTCTTCACGTCTCATAACATTTTTTTCTAGGGCCGGCCGAGTGGCTCAGTTGATTAAGAGCTTGTTCGAGTGCGAGCTCTGAGCAACACGGTCACCGGTTTGATTCTCAGCCCGAGCTGAGCTGCCAACAGGTGGCAGGATGGCTCAGCTAAAAACAAAACAAAATATTTTTTTCTCCCCCCAAATAACCCAACATTTCTTACTAAATATATTATAAATATATTTTAACAAAATATATTACAAAAGAATATTTAGCATTAACTAAATGTAATATTTAAGCAAACATGCCTGAAATGAGTCTTTTTGAACTAGTGACTTTTTATTTTAAGCTTACCTATTTTCATTGAAATTTCCAGTGTACTTTGCCCCAGTTGGGAATGTATAAGTCCCCAGTCCATGAAACATATTGTCCTTAAAGTGCCCTTCATATACTGCTCCTGAAAAATGCTCAAGTCTTCCAAAACCATTCATCTGTTTGTAACAAAGGAAATGAGCTTAGTAAATAACCTTCAGTTTCCCTAAAACACGTAAAAAATGTACACATGTCTATCATCCACTTAGTGATTATTTAATCTATCATTGTATTACCCTTTATTTCCATAAAAAATAAGATAACATTTTAATCACTATCCTTCATTTGTATCTCTCAGTGAAGCTCTCCCCAAGTCATATGTTGCTGGGGCATCTGAACTTCGTGGTTTGAACACCATGATGATGATACTGGGGTCCTTGAGATACGTTGAGTATATAAAAAACCATAGAGGCTAACCAGTATAGCTAGCCCAGGAAACAATACAAAAGTTGTTGAGAACAAAAATTATATTCAGGCAGACCTGAGTACACATTCTTGTTTAATTACTTATTAGCTGGGCAGAAACCTGAGCCTGATTTACCTCACATGTAAAACTGGAGTATTAGTGGTACCTACTCATGAGGTTGTTGTGAGGATTAAAAGAGAAAATTATGTAATGAGTTTGGTTGGCTTTACTCAGTGAATAGGAGATTAGAAAGATAATGATGATGATTAGCTCTCTGCATGAATTTAATGTTACTCATATGTTCATATATGTTAAATATAATCATTTGGGTTTTTTTGTTGTATAGTCTAGGCATATGTTTTTGGTTAATGGCAAAATGCCTGGAATCATTTAACCAATAGGTTTACTTATCCACTGTCAGTATTCAAGCCAACAATAATACCTTGTCATCTTTCCAGCTTCCTGTGTAGACAATCCCATTAGGAGTGGTGTGGATACCTATTCCATTTCTCTCAAAGCTTCCAGAAGATGTTCTTGTACAATCACCATCTAAACAAGAGAGAAATACTGAAGATTATACATGGAACGCTGTTTGACTATATAATAAAGTATTTATATTCTGATCTAATCACAACTGCACCTATGGGTCTCTCTGGCTCCCTAGCACTGAAACCAATGGGACCAGAGATGGGGAGCTTAGAAGGTCTTGTAATCATTGAGACCCAAGGACCAGGAAGATTGACAGATCCCATAGGTTACCAAGCCATACTGCCTAGACTTAACATTAGAATTTAGATTTAAAATCTATTCATCTATTAATATTTCCATGTTATTTTATCTAATGGAGTTACTATCCCAATAGTAGTTTTATAAAATGTGACAGTCTCAGTTTTTTACTCTTAAGCTGTTTAACTGTGGTCTGTATAGAAAAAGTAATTGAAATGTATGCTTACCATACTTGTCTCCATTTGGAAATATAAAGTTTATCTTATACACTTCTGCAGCTGTTTTAAAAAGATTTAGGAAAAATCATATAAATGTAAATATTTTTATGTCATAAGACCTATAACAAGTGTGCTTTAAGAGCTAACCAAAAAGACTCACTTCATATGATCACAAGCATATCATGATTACTTGGCATTCCATTGTTTAGTGTAGGGTCCTGGGGAAATAAATAACTTTGTCTAGATGACCTATTTTTATGTAATTATTTATTATAACAAATTTATTAATATATAATTGACATACCACAAAACTTACCCTTTAAAAGTATACAATTCAATGGTTTTACCATATTCAGTTATGTAACTATCACCACAATCTAATTTTAGAATATTTTAATCATCTCAAAAAGAAATTATGTACCCATTAGCTGTTACTATCCATTCCCTAATATCCTCAAACCCCACCCCCACCCTCGCCCCCAGTCCCAGCCCCTAGCAACCACTAATCTACTTTCTGTTTCTATGGATTTGTGTATTCTGGGCATTTCATATATATGGAATCTTACAATATGTATGGACCTTTGTGAATGGCTTCTTTTGTTTAGGATAATGTTTTCAAGGTTCATCCATGTATCAGTACTTCATCTCTTTTTATTGCTGAATAATACATTGTCCACTGTACAGAAATTACACATTTTGTTTAGCCATTCATCAGTTGATGGACAGCTGGGTTGTTTCCAGTTTTGGCTGTTATAAATAATGATGCTATGGACATTCACGTATAAGTTTTTATATGGACATATGTTTTTATTTCTCTTGGGTAGCCTATATGATCTATCGCTTGTCTCAGGTAAGGTGGAGTGAGGAATCTCTGATTTGGCAGGAGGAAAAGAAAATAAAGCTAGTAAGTGAGGAGGGGGTTATACACAGAATGATATCAGAATGGAAACTAGGTAAAAAAACCTAGAAAACCAAGAACTTGGGAGAACCTATGCCTCAGAGCCCTGGGACAGTTAGTGGACTAAAACATTAGACACTAAAATTTTCCAATAGTGAATAAAACATATATGTTGAGAAGATAATAACTTCTAGGACTAGAATGTTACTCAAAGTGTGGCCTGTGCATCACAATCACCTGGGATGCTTGCAAGTTCCTAGGCTCTAGCCTATACTACTGAATCGGAATCTCTATGGATGAGGTAAGAGAACTGATATTTTAATTTAAACATTGAAGTGCCAGTTCAGAAAAACTAGAGGCTCATCCACTCTGAAGAAACAAAGTTAATAACACAATAGGTAGAAGGCTTTAAAATACTGTAACATCCTCAGAAAGAGAGAGTATAGTATCCTTGAGACAGGAATAGATGGTGATGAAAAACAATTAGTCTAGGAAGTGAATAATATACTTGGTGAAATAAAACTCCTTAGAAGGGCTAAATGGAAGAAGGGATACAGTTGAAAAGTAAAGTAGTGAACTGGAATACAAGGCAGAAAAATTTTCCCAGAAAGAGGCACAAAGAAAAACAGAGGTATCACCTGAGCAAAGCCTTTCTTAATAGCGGCCCCCACAACACTCTGCGCCTATCCCTACTATAGTGCTCGGGGCCCTATTCAGAGAACCCTATCATGATACCCAGTTCGTCTAGGTCAGGGATCACGGATTAGTCAGCTCTCTCTTTTCATCCTAGTGTCTAGGTCAGTGATTAGTACTTAACTAATAGAAATTGAATATGTAGTAAATGAATGGCACTTGGGAAACAATTGTTAAATACTTATTAAGCAGAGCATTCACTTGGTCACACAAGAAACCGAACTGTTTTCAACTGCTCTTAAATGGTTCCACACTGGGAACTTTTGGGATGTTAGAGCAAGAAGGAGCCTAAGAGATCGAGATCGAGATCGTCTGGTGCTAAAGAGGAAACTGAAACACGGGGAGGTTGGCACTTGCCTAAGGTGTCACCACAGCCAATCAAGGGCGGAATCAAAGCTAGAATCCCGGTCTCCTGATTCCCAGGCCAGGGGCCCGCGGCGCCCCCTCCCCATCCCCAGCGTAGATGCCCAGGAAATATGTCACTCGGGTACCGGAGTTCCCAGGGGCCAAGCTCTGGCGCGAACTCTACGCCCTTCCCCGCTCGGGGCGTTGGGAGGAGGACACTCACTTGACAGAGAGTTGCTAGAGACGTTCTCTTGGCTCTGAGATTCCTCCCGAGTGGCCAGCTCTGCGGCCCGGAGGGAACCAGGCGCTACCAGGGCGCAGAATGCGACTCGGTTGCTGGGGCGACCAGGCACCTTTCACCCGGAAGCGGATTTGGAGGGTCAATGCTGAGCCAATCAGAAGGCGCCAGTGTTGTGCAGCCGCAGCTGGGCCGCGGCAGAGCCACTCCAGGTGAGATCCGTGAGGGTGGTGACTCCGGTGGAACCTCTCACCCCTGGGCGCTCCCTCTTGACAGTCGCCCCGGGAAGCAGCGCTGCGAGCCGGTACGGCCCCCCTTTTCCGCGGACAAGGGGTGTGTGTTGGGTGTGCGTGGTCTGCGCGTCACCCTGGTTGTCTGTGCGGACCCTTGTCCCGCCTCCCTCTCTCGGAGCGGTCAGGGCCGGGGGAGCGTCCGGTTGGATGCTCAAACGGGGCTGGCGAGTCTGGACCAGAAGGATCCCAGACCCTGGGGCCGGGCCGGGCGGGGGTCAGCAGCTGAGGTTGTCCACGATCAGGCTGCAGGCAGGGGAGCTGAATTCAGGCTCGGAGTGGGGTAAAGCGTTGGATTGGAGGGGCTGAGATTTCGTTTCCTGTCTGTCGCCATGAGTGGCTTTTGAGAGAGGATTGGGAGTGATGTATTGCTGAAAGACAGGTACTAGGTTTGGGTATCTGCATGGAGCCGGGTCTGTGGGGTCAGTCAGAGATTTGCCTGGAAGGGGAGTGGTGTGTACCGGTGGTCAGTGCCCCGCTTGGTGATTCTGTTTTCTGGGAGCCAAACTTGAATGTGAAACAAAGGATGCTCTTCAAATCAAACTTAGGTCCCTGTGTCCACGATGAAAAAAGATAGTTGGAATCTCCCCAGGCTAAATGGAATAGAATAGTGGAATCTATCCATGTGGATTATATAAGCTAATTCCTATTCCCTGGGAAACATCCGAGGAGAGTCATATTGGATACAGCCAGCAAGTTTTCATCCGGCATTTGAGAGCAGATCTCGGATCAGGTTATAAAGGTAACATTTTCTGGGGTCACAAGCTTGCTGTGGCTTGGTCTGGTTGGCCAGCCACTCTTTTTAATTCAGAGCACAACACCTTCTTGATTTTTTCCAGATGTTTCTTACTACACAAACTTACCTGGGGTGGGTAGTTTTTGAGATGAAGCTCTAGTCTTTCTGTTTTGTATATCCTTTCCTTTTACCTAAATTTTAAAAATAATAGGTAATTATTAATGCACAACTTTACAGATTCAGTTCATTCCATTGTTTTGGTCTCCTGTTAAGCTTTTAATGACACTGTGTTTTTCATAAGAACTTGAGGTAGTTAGACTTCTTATGATGTTCTTATCTAAGAGGATCTGGAGTCAGGAAACTTGTAAAATTTGGATTGGAAAAAGTGTATTAATTATATTTTTTATTTTCCATATTTTATTGTTTTGACGCATTGGAAGCCTAGCTGGTCGGGAAGAAACTGCCCTTCCTAGTGAGAGCTAACAAACAACTGACCTGTGAACACACCTTTCATAGGCACACCAACCAATCTGGAGTCCATAGCACCAACCACCTCCTAATTTCCCCTGCCCTGAAATCAACCCAGGGCCAGGTACCAGGCAAGTCGAGATAACCCCCATGTCCCAACGCCTGCTGGAATTATTCAAACTAGTCAATCCAAGCTGTTTACCCTGCGCAGTGTTGCCTGTGGAAACCCCAGAGAGGCTGTCATATGCCTTCCTCCTGGCTCCTTTCTACCTCCTCATGGTGCTTCCCACTGTGGCCCCTCCTGGCCTGACATGCCTCTCCTTTCTAGGGGAACTGTGAGTAACGCTATAAACTTTTCTTTCAATAGCATTGAACTCTCTGTGTTGTCACTCAGGAACATTTATAAATTAAGACCCAGGCACAAATCTAAGAAGAGTGAGGTCAGCTTATGATTATCCTTCGAATTGAAGATACAAGGTGCACGTGCATGGTAGGGAGACGATACGGTGGAAAGAATTTCAGCTTTGGAGTCAAACAGATTGTTGCAAACCCTGTCTCCATCTGTTCCTGGTGTGACGATTGTACCTCCCAGTTCTTGTCTTCTTGAGGGAAAGAATTCAGTCAAGAGACAGAGTTTGTGCAAGCATTGGATAGTAAGAAGTTTATCAGCAAAGCAGATATACCAAAGATTATGGAGTGGGCTGTCCCAAGAAAGGGGAAAGCAGCTCTCCTTACATTGCTTAAGAGTTTTTATTTCTGTGGGTAGAATTGTACACCCCCGCCTCGCCAGTACCCCTCATTCTCCCAGCTGATGTGCCACGTACTCCCTTCCTGCTCCCAAGGTTGTCTGAGTTCATTACAATGCCCCTGAGAAGCAGGATGTACTTTCTTTTTTCATTTTTTTATTTTTAGGATGTTTTTCCCATCCCTCTCCAGCATTTTTCCTTCTTCTTGCTTTAGGGACAGGTGTGAGCCTGCTATCCTGCTGAGCTAGTTGTTTTGTGCCGCCTTTGTTTATATCTTGCAGAGCAGGATATCTGTGACCTAAGTAGGAGCAGCTGCAAGGGGCCTCCTAACTAGAGCTGGTTCCCTCCTTCTGCTCATTTCGAATTTTCTACCTACCCTATCACATCTACCTTTAAAATATATTCAGAATCTATGACCACTTTTCCACTCCCTGCTCCCACCCTAGTCCAACCCACTATAATTTTTTCTAGGCTGAGTAACTGTAGTGGTTTCCTAACTGGCTGCCTGGTTTCTCCTCACCTCTGCCTCCCCCCCTCCCCCACTCCCCCTCACACACAATCTTTTTATTCTTCACATAGCAGCTAGAGTAATTGTTTTAAAACATAAGTCAGTCATATCAAACTTTTGCCTCAGGTCTCATAGTGACTTTCTATTATACAGAAGGTCCTCGAATAATGTCGTTTAGTTCAACTTCATTTCATTATAATGTTGATGAGATGTTGTGGGAACTTAAACCTTGTTTATATCAGCCTTCAGTAAAATTGGTTTTATAACGTGTCATTTTGCTTAAAGTCGCAGAACCTATCGACAATGTTAAGTGAGGACTTACTGTATTTAGAATAAAAGTCAAAGTCCTCCCCAGGGCCTGTGTGGCCCTCTCTGAGCTCAATCCGTTTCCTCACTTCACTACAGACCCTCCAGAATATCTTGCTGTTCACCCAGCTTAATGCATCAAAGATGTTCTGGACTTGGCACCTTTGTTCCTGTTACTGCTTCTGCTTAGAATGCTCTTTTCACAAATACTTCCTGGCTCATTCTCTCAGTTTGTTCAGGTGTCTGCTCAAATATGATCTCAGAGAGGTCTTACCTGACCATTCTACCTAAAATAACAGCCTCGGGGTTTTTCTTTTTCTTCATAGCACTTAACTGATGTTATATATCTATTTATTTGTTTATTGTCTGTCTTACCCTCTAGAAGGTAAGCTTCATGAAGCAAGAATTTTGTCTTCTTTGCTGTTCTATCCCTAGGACCTGACACATAATAAGTGCTCAACAAATATTTGTGGGATGAATAAATAAATAAACAAATATCCATTCTCATATCAGTCATGTATGCAACCTTCAGTCATTCATTCCACAAGTATACATTGAATTCCTATTATAGGCCAGACACTGTGTTAGAGGTACAGTGTTAAAACAGACATAATTCTTGTCTTCAAAGAGTTTTCTGAGAGGAGGAAAAGGAGGGAGATAAACATAAAATAAACAATCAGTAATTATGTATAATTATGAAGGATTTTGAAGAAGTGACTACCAAGAGACCTACTTTAATTTCCACATATTTGTGAGTTTCCCAATTTTTTTCCTGCTTTTTTTTTTTTTTAAGATTTTTATTGGGGAATTGGGGAAAGGGGAACAGACAAGTTGCTGTCCTTTTGTGCTTCAGTCTAGTTGTGGAGGACGTCGCTTCACTGGCCCAAGTTGGTATTATCATTGCGCTCTTCCTGGGTGAGGCAGTCACTCGCCTGCCATTGGGCGGCCTCTCACGGTGGCTCATGAAAGCTCACACCCACTGCCGGCCAGCCTCACTGCAGCCTACGCCATCACCAGCAACTCACAGCAGCCCAGCTCCAGGTCGAGTTGTTGTTCACCATTTTAGCTGTAGAGGGCGCAACGTCACTGGCCCTCATGTGGGATCTGAACCAGGGCCCTGCTGCTCAGAGCTGGCATCCCAAGGCAACTCTTAACCAATGCGCGACTTGGCCGGCCCTTTTCCTGCTTTTGATTTCTAATTTTATTCCACTGTGGTTGCCAAACAGACTTTGTATTATTTCTCTTTTAATTTTTTGAGGTTTGTTTTATAGTCTAACATGATCTATACTGGAAATTTTTCCTTGTGCAAATGAAAACAAATGTTTGTTGTTGGGTAGAATGTTCTAAGATGTCTCTTAGGTCTAGTTGGTTTATACTGTGTTTCAAGTCTTCTATTCGTTGTTGACCTTCTACCTATTGGGTTGTCGGAAAAGTCATGACATATTTTTTCTGTTTTTCATTGCAAAAATGCATCATGACTTTTACAACAATCCAGTAGTTGTTCCTTTACTATTGGTGAAAGTAGAGTATTGAAGTCTCATATTGTTATTACTGAATTGTCGATTTCTCCCTTCATTTCTGTCAGTTATTGCTTCATGTATTTTGGTGCTCTGTTATTAGGTGCATATATGCTTATAATTGGTATATCTTCTTTCTTTATCTCTAGTGACATTTTTTGCTTTAAAGTCTGTTTTGTCTTACATTAGCATAACCCCTCTAGCTTTCTCCTGGTTGCTGTTTGCAGGATTTATCTTTTTCTATCCTTTTACTTTACTTTTCATTTATTTGTATCTTTGAATTTAAAGTGATAGGCAGCATATAGTTGGATCATGTTTTTTTAATTGAGGTATAATTGACATATAACATTGTAATAGTTTCAGATTGTGAAATGATCACCACAGTAAGTCTAGTTATCATCCATCACTATACATAGTTACAAAAAATTTTTTTCTTGTGATGAGGACTTTTAAGATTTACTTTCTTAGCACCTTTCATATATGCAATAGAGCATTATTAACTATAGTCACCATGGTGTGCATTATATCTCCATGACTTACTCA